GCAAAAGTAAATACAGTTTCTAACAGATGGAGTTTATATTGGAGAAATTGTGTTAGAGAAAAAATTAAACTCTCTCCTCCCCATACCAGATTTTTCAGTATAATGAGCAGCCCTGTATGGGTACTTTGAAGTTAAAAGAAAATCCCTGTAGTTTTTCCACATCACATCTAGTGGTGCTTTCAGAGTTTTGTCCATAATACAAACAATCCTATAATTCAGTCTTGTTAAGATATACACAGATAGTCCTTGGATTACAACGGTAATTGGGACTGGAATTTCTGTCACTAAGCGATGTGGTTGTAAAGTGCAATGTCATGTGACCATATTGCTTAGCGACAGCAGTCCCAGTTACTGTCATAACCCCAGGACTGTGTGTGATCCCAATTGCATTCAAATCAGGAAAACATATAAGTGTAACCTCTAACTATAAATCCATAATATTAAACCTGATATTCTGGTTAATAGTCAGGAAATGGTAATGTAACATACTCAGATCATTTTGCTTTATAATATAGAAAAGAGTGCATAGCAATTTTTTCCCAATAAGCTATGGTTTTGTGGACTGAAATCATTCTGTCTGAACTAAATCATATTCTTTATGATGGACAGATGCTCCCAGGAAAGGATAGAATATTTCTAGATCTGCTTTTCGAGGTTGCAAACTGTTTCTCAAACTCTAATTATGAGAAACATCCAAGAAGTTGGGGAGAATTTTTTTACCGAAGTTATTTTCTTCCTATCCCAGAAGTACTGAATGTTTTCTTATGGGCAGTTAACTATTAGAACACAGACATTTATAATAACTTTTATTATTTCAGATTCCCATGATACCACATTTGAACAACAACTTCTACACATTATGCAAAATGATCAGGTATATTTTTGTCCAGTGCTTCTTTTTATTTCCACAAGGGTCATAAAACTTCACCATGTGCATATAGGGAAAAGTTTCATGTATTCTTCTCCCTCATGCAGTGTTTTACTATATTCAGGAAACTCTGAGAGAATATGAAAAACACAGAGACCTTCTGCCAATTGAAATGTTATATTCCAGATTTTTTTCCATTTCATTCTTCATAACATACCTCTCTGAGGGACAGTCCCCACAACTCTCTTACTGGATTCTGTTCAGTCTGGACTGCAACAACCCTTGTCCTCTGTTGCACCCCACAAAGAAGACTAAGATAGACAAACAGAAGTCCAGGACAAGTAGCTGCAAGGGAAGCATTTCATTGCTCAACACACCAGTATACTCTGTGTGTGTGTTTGTGTGTGTGTGTGTCTGTGTGTGTGTTTACCCATACTATCCCAAAATATAAAGCAAATGGACTAGAGGAAAGAGTCTTCATTGTTCTAATAGGTTGGGGAGGTGTGCACGTGTGCACGTGCACAATATTTTATGTTGAGAAATAGTGTTCAGATATCCAGTCCCTCATTCATTTGGAATGTGAAGTGATTGCTACTGCTTGCCACATCAATCCCTAAAGGGGCCATTAACCTAAATATGACTTTTCTTTGTTATTCTCCGGTGGAGTGCACTGAATGAGAAAGCAAACTTCCCAATTCCAGATGGCACAGCCTAGGACCAGACCAGAAAAAGCCCAGCCAGGTCTCTCTCAGAAGCTCTGGCTTCCTTTGTGCTCCTGTGGCTCTTGTGTACTTTAACTAGACCCTGAATTCACTCACATTTTCTCCTAGGTTAGTTTGCAAACCACAACTTAATTCAACTGGAAAAAAAAAAAAATGCAGCCCTGCAGTTGAGCCAGGTCTTTCCATCCAGATAAAAATGTCTTTTTGTTTGATGTGATTTTGAACTGGATCCAGAAAATGGGTTATAGAAATGGGATGGACTACAGGGTTACGCTGCTCTTTGCTCTTAGCATATGTGGATATATCTGTAAGTGGTTAATTATGATAGCAGCATTTCTGGTTCTTAAAAAAGCCTGAATTGTCCTTCGGGCTCATGCATATAATAAAATTGCTTAATAAATAATTAACAAAAACATAATGGGCAAAGCATTAAAAATGACATCACCACCTTCCATTCTCCCCCTGCCCCCTTTGGATTCTATGCATTTATTCTTTCTCTAAAGCACAATTATTTCAAACACTTCCCAAAAAGTGTTTTAACTTCTATATGATAATTATGCTCAGGTCTATAACAATACTTTCTATCCAAGCATTAAAATATTGTGAGAACATTTATGCAAGAGTATATACATTGAAGCAAGATGTCTTTATTAGATTTCAGTTAAAAATGTTCATTTTTTTTAGGATCTATCTCCTTGAATGTGGCATTTATCCTTTGAAACAAAATATTGTCCTATTTATAAGATTCATATTTGTATTCTTCTTTCCCTTTCTGGTGTAGTGGTGATTTTTTTTCTTTCATCCATTTCACTGTAACCTGTCAATGTCCAAATAAGATTGCTGCTAGTTTTGTGATCTGCTGCTTGCTTCAAAACGAGAATGTTTTGGTCTTCCTGACCATCTGGAATTGCAAGATCTTAAAAAAGAGAAAGATTAAATATTCAAATATCTGTATATATAAAGTCAACAAATGCAAAACAAAAAACAAAAATCCGTGAACACTAAAGTGTCCAGGCGCTTACATGAAATCAAAGTTTTTAAATAGAGAGAGAGAGTCTTCACCCCTGGAAAGAACTGTTAGAAAAATCTCTGCTTATTAGTAAACAAATGTTAAATAAATTAAGTTTTGGCATATTTACTAAGTTTACTGTACTCATAAATATGCTGAGTACTAAAAAAAGAGGTGCCCCCCACTCCCCAAATGCATGCACACTGCTTTGGTGGTCTTGTACTGATCTGGATTTTTACTAGTTATTTCAAGCTTCTCAAAAAAGAGCAGGTTTAGTATCCTGGGATATGTTTAGAACTTTCAGTGCTTTTGAGTCATGCTTTTGAAATTTAATTTCTAGTCTTGGGAACAAAGGAATGATTTTTTGCTTTCTTTCATTGTTCTGTTAGTGTTTGAACTCTACTTCCACATAATATAGCAATTTTTTTTTTTTTTAAATCACATTCATGATATTGCAGTTCTTCCAGATACATATCTTGCAGAGCATTGACCGTCAGACACAACAGATATGATACTGTACAATGATTTTTTTTTTCCTTCCCAAGTTTAGAGACTCTGCTCCATATTGAATGTATTCCACATTTTGGTATCTGTGTTGCCTGGTATATATGTATCTCTCCTGTCTTCTCCTATTTTACTTATGGCTTGTTTCATTCATATTTTCTGCCAGAAATCCTCATCCTTGAGGTGATGAATTTATGAGTTGAAACCAAGGAAGTCTGAGCAGAGTTCTGCTTGTTCAATCATTTTTACTATTCTCTTTTCCCCATTTCAAATCTCTGGGAGGGAGGGAGGGAGGGAGGGAGGGATATCTGTCTGTCTGTCTGTCTGTCTGACAGTCAGTCAGTCAGTCAGTCAAAAAACAGTGTAGGAAAGAGTACAAAGTTATGCAATGACAAGGCATTTTTGGAGTAATACTGCATTTGCATTCTGCTATTAATATGGTTATAAGGACCAGCATGATTGTATGTCTTCCATATGAACATTTCTCTGTTCAAAACCACATAATCAAGAAGAAACATTCTGATCTTGCTTTCTCTTCTCTATAGCATAATAGTTATTCAATCATGTGTGATTCCATCCGCATTTGAAAATGTTACAGCCTAAATGCTAGTTAGTCATATTAGTCATAGAACTGTTTTGGTTTTTAAATGGAGTATGAGATATAGATGAATTTAAATTTCCAGGGCCAGTTAGATTGCATTTTAAGAATGGAAGAAGCTGTCTGTTGGATAGACACAGCCTAACCTAAGCACTTTCTTTATATATTTTTTTCAGACTACCATATTTCATTTTTGAGCAGGTGTTAGGGCATGCAGTAATATCAGACTTCAGAAAGTATGTCTTCTCTTTCACTGGATGATCATTTCCCTGAAGTCAGCAGCTTCATTGGCCTACAGAGCTTCAAGTCCCAAGAGAAGGCATATTCAGAAAACTGCTTCTACAGCTTTTTTCAGATTGGGTAGCAGAGGCAGTGAAGAATATTATAGAGGGATGAAAAACGTGTAACAGATCAAAAAATATATCACCAGCATTTTCTGCCCCCTTGCAACAATGAAAATAAGATTGAGCCAATAGGGCATTGGACCAGAGAGCGCCAGGAAGATTCAGTCCCATCCTCAGCCACAGAAGCTCACTGGGTGACTTGGCCCAAGCTACCTCTGAGGTTGCTTGTTGTTGGAGAAAATTGAAGGAGGCCATAAAGCAGGTTATTCATAAAGTTTAGGGATTCTCTGCTAACAGTTTGCTGATCCTTTCCATCTCAAATCTGATGTAAGTTCCATAGTTCCTACGGTCTCCCAAATATCTCTTGTGTTCCCATGAGGATCATGATCCCATCTATTTTTTCCCCCCAAAAAGGATTTCCTTAAGAAAATAACTGAATAAGAAGCTGGCATGCTACAAAAAAATTGTGAAGCTATAATATCTTATGTATTAGCACCAGAGCCTTTGACCTCCACAAAACTGCCATTTAGATGGCAGAAAACATCCTCAGATATAAGTTTACCTTCTGTTTTGTGAATATACCTTTGGATTTATATTGGATGGGAATACTAGAGCGGGCCTTCCAAGTATCTATTCCCAAGCTCTGAACTCATTGATAAGGGGAGCCAAGCATGATCCCTCAACAGAAAAGGTTTTCCCTGAGAAAATCTCAGTCATTTTAACATGAATTGTTTGCTAAAGTAGGTTTTAACTACAGTGGTGCTGTATGATTCTTTTTATTGGTGTATTGCTTTGTTTTTAATTGATGTTACTGTTGTTTCATTTAATTCTCCTTTTATCTCTAGCTTCTTTAAGCACTGGACAGGTTGGGTGTGCATATAACAAATAAGGAAATCCCGATTCTTGGAAGGATATTAAAGCATTTAACTTTTGGTCTTGTTCTCCCTCTCCATAGGTTTATGCCCCTTCTGCAAGCACTGCCGACTACAATCGGGACTCCCCCGGCTATCCATCCTCAAAACCAGCAGCCAGCACTTTTCCTAGTTCTTTCTTCATGCAAGGTAGGATGGCATCATTGAAGGCATTTTCTTATGCGTGCCCTTGAGGGTCAGTGGACTGGATGCTCAAAACCTGGGCTCCACAGAGTCCCCTGACAGATGGACAGTTCCAGGCAGCCTTGATTTCTCTTTGGAAGCTAGGGGTTATGTAGTAGCATGCCAGACACACAAAGGACAATCTGGACCACAAGAAACATTGCAAATTGAAATGGATCTTTTAATAAACATTTTGTACGGTCAGTTTTGCTCCCAAATATGAATTCACAATATGCAACATTGCTTACTTTGATGCCATTCCAAATGTTTATGGAAGCAAACATATTTGGTGGCAAAATAATAGTATTAGTGTCATTTTGAATTCATACACACAGGCTCCTACATAGTGAACATCCTTGTGATCTGATGCAAAAATAAATGTCTTGGCTCCTGGGGCAAAAGTGGAGCTCTCCCTTGCCCAGATCTTCATATTCGGTGGGAAAGATGGTGAGCAGAGAGAAAAATGTGTCCCTCCTTCCACCTGAAATTAAGGAGTTAGCCTACTACTGTAAAATCTGAAATGATAGTACATCTATTATTGTTTTTAAACTGGGGATATTCATGACAAAAATCCTGTATTCAAAACTGTTAACAGCAGTGGAGTGTAATAGTGCTCAGGAAGTAACAATACAGGAAGTTTAATGTTCTGTAGTGGAAATATTTGCAGCAAGATGTGACGTGCTGTAAGTCCCACTGTATTCAGTGGAGCTTGCTCTCCTTCTGTGTGGTTTGAATTACAACCTTGAAGTCCTGGTGTTGGATACACTCAAAAATATTTTGCATAAAAACAGCTTATTGATGAACATTTTCAGTTCTTTGCATTCACTTCAAAGTAGTTAATATTACCATTGTAGGTCAAATAGTTTGTAACAATATTCCACTGGTAGAACAATCACATTGATCAGACACATGGAGAGGAATGGTCCCCTGTTCTTAAATATAATCTTAGAAATGAGAGTTTACATGTAAACCGATTGGGGCGGGGGGGATGATATTAAAAGGAACTTTATATTCCACAGCTGTGTTTAATAATAAAGTTATTGCTTGAGCTCCATGATAATCCCACAGACCAACTTTTCCCACACATCCGTTGGCCATGCTGGAAGCTATGGACCAATGCAGCTAGAAAGAAACAGGTGGGAAAATTTGCAAGGGTTTTAATTTGTCTCATCCACTCTCACTGCCCTTCTTTGTGGAATGGCTTCTTGTCACTTAAATTTGGTGCAAATTTATCTCTTCCTTCAAATTTTTCTTCAAACCATTTTTTCTTCATTGACTCTGCATTTTTAATCTTTCTTTTCAGTTATAACTTAGCTTATCATTCATGGTATTTTACTATTTTGGGCTTTTCTGGCTCTCGGTTTATCTACTGTCACCCATTATGTAAGTTTACCTTTGTAATACATGAACAGCGTATTGTGTGTTTATACAAACATGCATATACTGCTTTTTCACTCAACATATGAAAACCGATCTACTAAATCAATAGAATAATGAGGAATAATGGGGGGGGGGGTGAACAGCAAAGAGGCCAG